TCCCCTCCTTCTTTCTTTCTTCCCCCTCGCCCAGCCCTACCCACCGGGCAGCCCATCCTGGGCCCGAGCCCCCAGGAGCCCCCACAGGAGCGCCCCCAGGAGCCCCCCGAGGGGCATCGCTAAGCCCGGGAGAGGCCCGCCGCCATCTTGTGCGCGGCTCCTCCGGTTCCCATGGAAACGGCTGCCCGGGGTGTTGGTGGGGGAAAGAAGAGAAGAACAGAAATAATTCTTTATCGGCCTTTCCAGGCCAACTCCCCTCAGGCTTGGAGGCATTTCGTCGGTGTAGCCTCAGCGGCTGCTTCTGTTATGAAAGGGAAAGCGACATCTTTTCTTTTAGGATTAATCTCTTCACCACCACCCCTCCCTGCGGTGCGAATGGTACATTCCACACGGAGGTTGGGGGAAATCCTACAACTCCCATCGTCCCTTGCGGCAGAAATGTGCTTTTTTTAAAAAAGTTTGGAGAGGCAAAACGTTTCTGGTTCAAACCTCGGGTTCCCAGTAATGCCACTAAAAAGCATGGGTCACTGTAAAAAGTTTTTAGCTGGGGACAGGCAGTTCGCTAGGAAGGCTGATCAGAGCTGCAGTCCAAGGAAAATTATTATAATTATTCAAAAACACCAGGCACAGTCAAAATCATCATTTTCTAGGCCAAGTTGTCAGGAAAACATATCCTGGAGATTTCACCTTCATTTCTTACCGAAAGGCGGTTTGTTACCTGTTCCAACCATGAGGTTGAGTTTATTATCTCAGACAAAATTTAGTCTCTAATGTCCTGATGAGAATACATGATCCGAGCCCAATACAAATATTTCTAGTCACCTTGGTGGCCATGAGGAAGTACATAAAAGTCTCTACAGTATGTACCTAAAAATAAACCTATCCCCACCCCCCAATTCTATTCTCTAAATAGCTCACTTTTCTCTTTGTTCTGCTAAAACAGTCCCAAAGGAAGAGCCCACGATCCTTGAAACAGGGCAACACAGATCCGTTCCCTAGGTTTCCTGTGACAGACCATTACCCCCAGGGAATTCACAAGGGGAAACAGTATTGTTTTGATTGGCTCCTTTTTCGCTCCGAGCATTGTTCCTCGAAATGAGTAACACAAGGGATGCACAGATATTCCAAACTGCCAACCAACGCATGAGCTGTGGGAACACTTCAAATTTTGGGGACTACCACCTCCAGAATCCACCGCCGGCTATATGTTCGTTGGTGGGATTCTGGGACCTGCAATAAAAAAACACCAAGAAAGTGACTTTGTCTTCCCGTCAAACTTTGGATAATATATACCTGAAGTGGGTTAGGAATGACGGAAAAGAAGCTGGAAATGCAGAGCTTCGTTCTGGTAGATTAAGGTTCACTGGATCTGACCTCCTTCAAAGACTCAGTAAATGTTTAGCCGGTGGCGATGCCTCCAACTGGCTTGAGCCAGCAAACCAGGACATCCTTCTCCTCCTCCCTGCTTCCCCCGTTAATCCCAAATCAAGTTTCCTTTAGTTGATTTGTCACGGGACTGCATCCAAGTTTGCAGATCCCAAGAGAAGCGAGACAAGGGGTGTTCCCCAGTTAAGTTCCTGCAGAAAAGGCAAGGTTGGGAACACAAGAAACGCCCCTGTGTTTAAAACAGCAACAAGATGGCAGTGGGTAATGATCCCAGGATCGCCCTTTCGTTTTTATACAAGAACGACCCCTTCTACTCTCTCTTCCTTTCAGACCTGTTGATCGCACCGCAGCAGGTTAAGAATAAGTTTCTCAAGGACCAGAAGGATCTCGCAGTGGTAAGACCGGCTGTATTACTTAATGGGCAACAGCTCAGCCGAGTTTGGGCAGGATCCTTGCCTGGAGAGAGAGCTCTCTGGTTTTCTTCCCCCAAAGCTGTAAATCTTTTTTTTTTCTTCTTTTCTCTCCCGCAACCCTAGACTTTAAGGAAACTGGAACAGCAGAAGCGGAGCCGACTGAGGCAACTCGACGAGGAGAAAAAACAGTTTCATCTCCTGATGATAAAGAAATTGTCTCCCAGAGTCGCCATCAGCAGAGGGTCGTCCACGGTCGCAGAAAGGAACATCTGCAGAGCAGCCTCTAGCAGCGTCCAGTTTTCTTCTCTGGCTTCAGCTAAAAACAGCTGGAAGAGTCTAGACACAAAGTCCCAAACCAGGCCAGGGACTGGCTTCTTTTCGACCACCGACGGTGAATTCCCTGCAATTTGCGCCCTGAAGTTTCACAAAGTAAGCTGCCATTAGCAAATAATTCTACGTTTGCAGCTTAAACAGTAACGAAAGTACGAGATCCTTCACCCGCGATGGAATAATGAGCAGCGTTGTTCCAGAACAGCTAGATTCAACTCCTGGGATCAAACATTTCGTTATAAAGGTGTGTGACATGTTTATGGAATGCTAAGCCGCTTTTAAAAGAAATCTGGAGCCTTTTCTAAATAAACGGATGATGTTCACCCTGCCTTCTCTTCCTCCTGTTCATAATTTCCCACAATCTAAACTTGGTTTGTTAATAACCCTAATAAAGAATGACATCTAAGCATGGCTTAGGTTATGCTAGCCGTTACTTTAGGGAGGCCCCGAGTTCCAATTCACAGCTGTAAGAGATTTGAAAAGGGTTACTCAGAGGTTAAGATATTGTATTGTATCCAGTCACTGGGGAGGGAGAATGTGAATGACAGGGCTACATTAGAAACGGATATGCTTTCTCAGAAAAGTCTTGCTTTGATAGGCAGACATTTATACACATGGAGGGGAAAAAGCATGGGCATCTAGTGTGGTGTGGTGGATAGGGACAGATTAGGACTCAGGAGGCCTGAGTTCGAATCCCTGCTCAGCCATGGAAACTGACTGGGGAAGTGGAACTGGCAAAAACACTCCTTAAATATCTCACTTATTTGGAAAACCCTCTTAGGATTGCTATAAATCACTTCTGGCTTGATGGCACATAAGGGAAGTGCATAAATTTCTGTTACTTTTCCTATCCTCTCCACCTCTAAAAATAGATGCCTGCCTAACACAGCTCCACTCCATGCCTCTGAGGAAAACTAGTTAACGCCGCACGAAACTTGTTCGTCTTTAATGTGCCACCTGTCATGATTTCTTCTCCAAACACCCTCGCCCTACAAAGAACAAGCCCGCAATAAAACATCACTCATCCGTTCTAGCTATAGGGAATCATTTTTTTTTCTGTTTGCACACCCTGATCTGTTTCTTAGGAAAACTTTATTCAGGAAGAGTTACAAAACAGTATTAAAAATGGAACAGCATCTGGCTGGCAGAGAATAAATGATCCAGGATAACACACGGGCCTGTCCATAAGAGAGAGATCCCTGGGTTTCTCCTTGGCTGTCAAACGGAACATAAAGCATGAGATTTCGGCCCAGGAACCACTGTTTATGGACCACATTTTTAAAAAGGATGACAGATGCACTGTTTTGGCTGTGTAAAAAGTCAGGGGGAAAAAACCCACAGAGCAAACGTAACACTGTTAGATGTTCAGAACAATAGTCTTAACACACAGTGAAGTTTTCGTTACCTGCCGCTTTCTTATAGTTGGCCAAAGATGGAAAAGGGGACAAATTGTCTATGGTGGAAATCTTCACCACTGCATGGAAAACTGAACTGTCCTCGCATTTACCAAAACAGGAGCCTCCGGCTCTGAGCAGGATCTCCAGTTGCATAATAATAGGCAACAGGGACCTTTCTCGGCATCCAGAAAGGCGTAGTTCAGGAATGGAAGTCTGGTGTAGCTGATTTTCATTCCTGCAATGATCCAGAAGGAGGACACTGAAGAACATGGTCATTTCTTCCGCCGGTCTAAGATTGCTTGGTGGGACTGCTTTGCCTCAAGTCCTGGTGAAACAAGGTGTCACCTTGGAAGCACTGAAAACCCACCAAAAACAGATGCTGTTCTCGCGGTTTGGAAGGAGAAAGTAGAATGCCAATTATGGTAAGGAAAAGCTTAGCTTCCAGCACAATTCCTTTGCAAACATAAGCCTCGGTAATTCTCTCTCTTGACTAATACCAGTAGGGCTCTGTAGGACCAGCTACCAAAGCCCTAACCTTGCGGTGCTGAGGCTGGGGAGGGGATTTCTACTGGAACGATCAGTGCTTTGATTTTGGAAGAAAAGTTGGGATGTAAAATTAGTCTCAGTTGTTCCACAGAGAGAGGTTGGTCTGGGAAGGTTCTGTTGGAAAAGTTGCGTGCCTCGGTTGTGGGTTTGTAGGCTTCCGTCTTTCCATCGCCACTAAAACCATCACAGCTTTATGATACACACAGCAGACGCATGCGAACATCTGTTGCTGAACAGACTGGGTGCAGCCAACTTTATGCAGTTGTTCTGAAATGCTTACCCCGCTGTCTGTATGGGTTGGTTTTTTAAAAAAATAATGTCTTTCTTTCCTTGCACCTGAACATCACAGCTGCAATGGGAGCTGTAAAACTGAACGTGGCAGGAAAGAGGCAGGAGGAAAGGATGCTGTTATGTGGCTAGTTTCAGCTTCTTTTTCTTAGCCTTCATGACAGCTGGCAGTGAAATCTTGAAGGCAGTCCTGGAAGGAGAGGGGGAAAACATGTGTCATTCAGGCTGTGTAAATTCTTTCCATGTAAGCAGGAAAAGAAATATTCTCCATCTAAAAAAAGCCTAAAATATTTACTAGAATCAATCAGGTTAATTCTTTGAAACCTGCCAATATCTGCATGCAGAGAGATCAGTTTCTATCACTAGAAGTTTATACGTATCATAAGCAAGGTGCATGGGATGAAAAGGGAACTAAACCCAGCAAAATGTGCACAAAGTTCGAGTCTCAAGAGATTTTGGCAAGGATTTGACTAATGGAAGAAATGAAAAAAGAGAATGATGTGAAACAGATTAGGTTGCTAGGGTCATATCAACAAGAAACCACAGGAATGGGCTATAGGCTGGCAAAGAAGATTTAAATCAATCTACAGAGCAGTAAAAGTCAAGCCAACTTGTTTCTAAACCTCTCCCAGCACCAGTGAGGACTAGCACCTTGCTTAGTTTTCAAAGAGATCTCTGTCAGACACTTACTCGCAAGTGGTGCAAATTGGGCTGAAGCTGCAGAATACTGGAAAATGAAAGGAACAGACAAGTTTAGGCGGGCGAAGTCAAAGGTCACAGAAGTCAAGGCAAATCTGAGAAACCCCATCAGATAGACCTTACTTGACAGGCACACGGAGCAGACGTAACCAATTTCGATGAGATTCCTGTGGCAGAAACAAGCTGCCCGGTAGTCGACATGGACAGGAGGTGGAAGGATGAGCCGAGATCTCTGTTCTTGGTCGGGCAGATACACCCACTGTAACGAAAGACAAACGAGAAGGCATCTAATAACTGAGAGCTCAGGAACGCGTCGAGCGTCTCCTCAATTGAAGAGCTTAAAGAACTCACCAGCAAATACTGCAGAAGAGAAGGCATATGGGGGACTTTCAGGTAGATACCGCCAGTAATGTCACAAGCCTGGAAAACATGACATTATCCTTTTGTTTTTAAGCAGCAATGTCATACCCTCATACAAAGGGCTGAATCCGCAATTCATCCAAAAGACACCCTCCCAGCCCAATCCCAGGTTATTTACCACTAAGATAGGGACAGACCCCATCTCCATTACTGCACAGGCACTCACATGCTGTATAAACAATCCTGCGTCATATAAACCAACAGTCTGACTCATCAGAAAGCTGTTTTTTTTCTGTGCATGATGCCTGCAAGCAGGTGGCCATGCCTTTTTTAAAAATAAGTCAGTCCCCAGACCTCACCCCTGTAGAAATAAGGTTACAAATGTAAGGCTCCCTTGAGTCAACTGAGATCTTAAGCCTTATTTCCGTGTTTAGCCAAACACTGAAGCTTACAAATACTTCAAAAGTCCAAAGTGAGCCTCAAGATACTCAAACGGTGTGTTGAATCTTCACCTTTCTGAGGTCCCTCGAGATTGAACTTGTTGCCATTCCTCTTTTGGCCTCATGGGTGAAGCCAAAGGAAATCCGTCCTGCAATCACTTTTTGCAAGAAGCGGGCGGGAAAATCAAGTTACCCCATATCGTGCATAAAAGGACAGCGATTCACAGCTTTGGGCATTTTGTCCGAGCTGGAAAGTGACGGGAAAGCGACAAAAACACAGATCGTACCTGCTGCAAAAGCCCCGAATCAGAGTCCAACACGCAGGCGTCAATCAAAATATTCTGAAAGAAGGGGACAGGAGGAGAGAGTTGGAAAGATAAGGGGAAGGAAGTTAACAGAGTTCTACAGGAAACAACATGGACCACTTTTGCAATCCTCCAGAGGGAAGGCGTGAAATAAGAGGAGAGCGGGAAAGAGAGCAATTTACATTAGGAGTAAGCAACCAGGGTCCCCTTGAAGGTTTTCAACTACGACCGGCATCAGTCTCAGCCGTATTTGTAGGTTTAGTAGCTGCGATAAAAATCTTAGCTTTACCTGTTTCTGGGCTGCAAAGATCACGTTCATAAAGCTCATATACTGCAACGCACTGTCTTCTGCAGCTTTTATGACCTGGGGAAAGAAATCGGCCTCCCTTAGTATCGATGAGATCCTCAACTCAGTAGAATTCATTCAGTTTCAAGAAAAGTCAAGGAAATCCAAAAGCAGCCTTACCAAAATCCTGGATTTAGTTTCCTGGCTGGCTACATATGAAATGGAAGCAGAGATTAAAAAAGAGAAAAACATGGTTGTATCTGAGCCAATCATGTCCGACTCTAGGGGGCAGTGCTCATCCCCGTCTCCAAGCCCTAGAGCCAGCGTTTGTCTGTAGACAGTTTCCGTGATCATGTGGCCAGTACAACTAGACACAGAATGCCATTACTTTCCCACCGAGGTGGTACCTATTTATCTACTCGCATTTTTACATGCTTTCGAACGGCTAGGTTGGCCGGAGCTGGGACAAGCGACAGGAGCTCACTCCGTCGCGTGGATTCGATCTTACGACTGCTGATCTTCTGACTTTGCAGGGTTTAACCTGCAGCACCATCACGTCCCTGGAACTGGTAAAACCACTCCTTAAATATCTTGCCTAGAAAGCCCTATTAGGGTTGCTCTAAGCTGGTTCCAACTCTGACAGTGCAGAACGGGGCATATATTATAAGGTCTCTGGTCCCCTCTAGTGGCCAGTTCTGGTAATACATCTCAGAAACAAGTTAATATTTTCGGGCCACCAGTAAGTGAAACTGCAGGTCTGGATCGCGCGGATACAGCAGGACTACTGTAGTAAAACCAGGAAACCTATTGCATTTGGCGCAAAAAAACTGAAATAAGACTCAAACCATACTTCGAAGCTATCATCTGCACAGTCTTTCTCTCTCTTTCTATTTGATAACATAACCATTTATAAAGAATGTAGAACAAGATACCTGTTCCCGCTTTAGTCATCTTGTGAATATCTAAGACATACAATATTCAGGAATCAATGTTAAGAGCACTTTTGGCAACGCCTACAAGACGCAATCACGGCAAAATAAATGGATCAATAGGGCGAGATGCAACCTGCTCCTCGCCTTATAATCCCTCTTCACATTTTCCTCCAGAGCACAGCCCAGGAAGAGCATGCAGGGTTTAAGGCTGTTTTCGCACACACGCCCGGCCATTCCCCTCCCCACGTCCCTCTTCAGGTCCAAAGGAGCTCATTGCAACTCCTCAAAGTCTCAGGAGCGGCACCCCCCCCCAAAATACCCATTTTCCAAACAGCCCGAAATACCCACAACAACCATTTCTGATTTCTTTTTATTTTTTCCATTCATTTTTGTTGGTGGGGTTTTTTTGGGGGGTGGTGGTGGAGGGAAGATTGTGGCACTTTTAGTGTCTTCTCTGCCAACCCACCCCGAGGATGCGAGGGATGGGAAATTTGCCCCTGGACCTTCAGTCAAAGCTACATCTCCCTACTCTCAACTTCCGGCTTAACCCCTTCATTCCTTTATCACTGCAACCAAGCCTAAGAACAATGAACTGCCCTCCCTCAGGTCTTCTTTTACCATGTTTGTGAGCCACGCTCTTTCCCTTTTTGTCTCCTCTCTATCAGCTTGTCAACTGTATACTCTGTGGGGACAGAGACCTGCCTCTGTTTTTGCTTACGGAACTCTAGAACGCAGTGACCTATCAATGATGGGGCACTACCGAGAACCGTAGTTATTCTATTAATTCCCTAACATATTTTCTAAGAGTAACTGCTGGAAGCAATTTTCCCCTTGTGTTTCCACATAGTATCAGAAAAGTTGGTTTCAAAAGGATACAGCAAAGAGCTTTAGCCAGAGATCCTGCCAGCAACGTTTCTGTCTGCTGGCCCTTTATTTCCGCTGCAATCAAAAGGGAAATCAAACGAAAGAGAAACTTAAACTATTTTAAAAAGAAATGTAAAAACTGGCATGCATCCATGGCACCCTGCCTTGAATAACCGATCTGTCCATCCATCTATATATCCATCTATCACCAGGAAGAGTTGCTTATACTGACAAAATCTAGTAACAGTTTGCATTAGACTGCTCTCTTCAATGAAAAGATCAAAAGGAACATATTCTTTACCTCTGACTGGCCAGCCTAACAAGAGTAGATCCACTCAATGAATGTGATTTACATAACTGTCTCGTAATTCAGCAACGGATTCAATGGTTCCATTTGGATCGGGACGAGCACTTGGATTTAGAGCCACAGCAGTTGCTCCCACAGCTTTGGGGCAATTAACAAAGACACTTAAAACCCTAAATGTTTTGGTAAGGAAACCTATTTATTTACTTATTTAATTATATTTATACCCCACCTATCTGGTCATTTCAACCACTCTAGAGGCTACACAATCATTAAACTAAATCAAGGGCTGATCTTACTGTTGGTCATGAGGTCCTTTATCTCTTCTGCAATGGTTTCATTTATTGTGGTTAAGAACTCATATTTTCCATCTTTGCTGCTGGAAACGTTCACTTCTCCGGCCTCTCCGAAGAGATCAGCAGCTGCCCACCGCTTGCCAGGGTACAAGAAACGGCTACGAGAAATAAAAAGAAATGTTCCGGCTGTGTTAAGCGCTAGAGAATGTTATCGCTGCAACCAGTGCTAAGCATCAGCTTCCCTTCACGCATTTTAGGAAGGAAAGATTTGTGGGGTTTTTTGTTGTTGTTGTTGTTTAGTTTCAAGGGCCTATGTCATTCTATCAATTCTCACAGTTCTTATTTAATTGAAACGCTTCTGGGGTTTTGCCAAAAAGACTCTCAGAAGGGCTTCTGGGTAATCTGTAAGACCAAGGCAGTCCTTGCGTGCAGGCTGATCACCTGAAAGGCGTGATGGAAAACGAGAGAGAGAGATAGAGAAGGAAAAAGGAATCTCTTTCTCTAAAATGAAACCACAGTCCACATCATAATCAGCTGGGATGAAAATAGTTTGTGAAGGAGTCTGATGAAGTTGGTGTTTCAGCAAAGCTGATGGAATGGACATGGGTCTCATCCACTCTTTCCCCCTCTGGCCCGGAGTTTGGCAGAAATAAATATTACTCCTTCATCCTCACATGAACACTGAACATTCCTGATCACTGGCCCTGCTAAGCTAGAGCTTATTGAGTCCAACAACATCGGGGGAACAGCAGACCCTCTACCTCCGCTACAGACGAGCAGTAAAATCCACCGACTACTTTCCTTAATGAGGTTAAAGACCTGTTTCTCTCACCATTCTGTTTTCTATGTTGACTTCAACCCGAAGTTTCCAGGAAGTTCAGAAACTGGGCCAACTTGCAAGAGCAAGGTGCCCCCGCTTGCCGTTGTTTATCTTCAGAATCTTATGCATTGCCTTTGACCTAAACTCTCTCTCTTCCCCCCACCACCACTCCTGTGTCCAACCATCCAAAAAGCCAGAATACCTTTCCTGTATGTGACTGGCGATCACAGCAAGTTTGTTGTTGCGGTTCATAAAGAGGTGCGAGTTTCCCAACACCATGACTGCATCGAGGCATTTTGACAATGTAAGCTGGAAGGGGAAACGGGGAGGGGGTAGAATTCTTAAAATACAGAAACACCTAAGAAAGGATAATAAATCTGTGAACATCTAATTGTAACACTTTTGTTGCAAGGATACATTTTGTTGAATTTAAAGAAACTCAAAACCGTACATTAAGGCAGGCATCCCCAAGCTGAGGTGCTCAAGATAGCTTAGCTTCTAGGGAAGATGGGATTTGTCATCCAATACACCTGGGAGGCAGCAAATTGGAGACCTCACTGTGACGTGGAGGTGATTCTGGGTTCCTGGAGCAGCAGTTCTGGAGGGTTCTATCAGAATGGTAAAGCTGTGATTACGGGCCTAGAGGAAGCCTACATCTCTGCAGTCTGAACCAAAGTTATTAAGCCCCTTAGGAATCTCATTGTCTCCATATCTAGTCAGAAGCTGGTTCAATAGATTTCAGTGAGTTATTATTTCCAAATAAGTACTCCTGGAACAGTTTAACTCCTTGGAAACTACTCAAACATTTGAGACACCTGCTTATAAGTAAAGTTGTTCAAGGTCCAATGCAGATTATAATGCATCTTTCTCAGTGGTTATTTTTTAAAAAAGGGTTTCACAGAAAATAGAGAAATCTTACCTCTGATCCTGCTAATGCTTGCTTTCCCCACCAGATAGGATTGGTGTCAATGACGACAACTAGGAGATTCAGTTCATCATCTGGGCGAAAAAGAAACCCAGCCACCCACCCCAAAAAAACACACGTCAAAACACTAACCACAGAATCACAGAGCTGGAAGTTCATCATCTGGGCGAAAAAGAAACCCACCCACCCATCCCAAAAAAATGTCAAAACACTAACCACAGAATCACAGAACTGGAAGTCTAATCCCCTGACTCAACGCAGGCATGGAAAAATATTTCCATTCCCAAGTTTCATATATATATATATAGGAAATATATATATAACTTGGCACTTTCAGCAGAGCTGGAAATATTATATTATTATATAATAATTATTATATATACACACTCAGGGTATCAGCAGGGTCTTTTTGCCCAGCCCCCGTTTAAACCTGGAGCAGAACACAGCCCCTCTCCAGACATCTTAAGATCCAGGTGTCCGCCCCCCCCATTTATTTGGCGCTGCCTAATAAAGCACTCTGCACATGTTTAGAGCACCCGTTGTTTTTTAAATACAGGAGACTTGTGCCCAACCTAAGCCCCCCCCCCAAAAAAAAAACCCCACCAGCTCAGCAAAAAGCGAAGGCAGGACAGGAGCCGGAGTTTTAATCCGGATCCCACCCACCTCTTGACTACAAACAGACCCACCGGCACTCATAGCGCCCAGCGAGAGCCACCAGCAGACCTTTGGCGTCGCCGCCCGATGATGTCACGGGGAGCGCCGGCCTGGCTTCAGGTCCAGGGGTTCTTCCCTCTCTTTTCCGGGTTGGCGGTTCCTCGCGGAAAGGGCTCCGGCGAGCCCCCGAAGGCGTCGGCAAAAGGGTTCCGCCTTCGTGGGCAGCGTGGCCTCGAACCGCCGCCGCTGGAGAGAGAAGTTCCCGGGACGGAGGGGCGCCTCGTTTCCTCGCGCCATGAACGAAGCCGGTAAGTAGTAGCAGGTGGGTCATTGAACGGGATCGGCCGGTTTTTCAATTTAAAAACAACAACAACACAATTTTATAGTCCCATACCTGATAGAATCGTGAATGAGATCTCCTATAACATGACCAGCAGAAGGATGATGGGGCTGTCGAGAAAAAAAAAATTGCAGCGAAGGGTTTCCTTTATTGTCACCTATTTAAAAAAAAAGATGATAGGCGAGAGCGAAAGGAAACAGGAGGCGCAGTTTAGCATTTATTTTCTTGGCTCTTGTTATGTTTGCTAGTATTGCCACTTTTTGTTAAGATCTGGACTCCCGTCTTTCTTGGGTCGGGGTGGAAATCCAGATGTTTCGTCCTCCAGATGTGTTTTGGGCTGCAACTCCTGCTGGACGACAAGCCCTCACAAGGGGGAGGGGGATGCGGCCGAAAACCTCAAAAGGCATCATGGACTCACAATCCTTGAAAAGGGCAGGTGGGGAGACAGCTTTGGGGGGGTTTAAGAAAGAAGAAATTGAACTGCTGTTTTATTTTTAACCCTTATTTTTCTGGCTACCTCTCCTCTCCTCACCAGAGCTGACCGAAGCCTTTAACACCCAGATGAGGCAGGATCCAGATGTTGCCTCTGCCGTGGCTGCGATCCGCGTCTTGCTGGAGTTTTTGAAAAGAGACAAAGGCAGGTCGTAGCTTGTGGTTCTGTAGATTGGGGGGGGGTATTCATTAGGGAGGAAAATGGCAAGGGGGCTTATTGGTTGGCCTTTGGGTGATTTATGGTACAGAAGCAAAGGTTTTCCCAGCAAAATGTATTAACAGGAATTAAATCGTTGCGTTTTATCGGCTGTGGCTGATTTTGGCCTGGTTCTTATTCCTCACCTTTTCTCCTCTGCAAAATAGGAATATTGGTTGTCGTTGAGCATAGTTTTGAACCAGTACTATATCAGAATCCCTAACCCTAATTCATTAAAAACTAGATTTGTACTTAAGTCACTCCAGCATCTTGGTTCTGGAGTATATATGATCTGCACCCTTTGAGTCAGTATATTTCATTGGAGCCCAACTGTGGGGAAACCCCCCCCACTTTTTCCCCCCATTCTCCGGATGGAGGGTTTTGAGATTTCAGTTAAAGACAAAGGAAATATTTCAAGCCTTCATCCTGCTTATTTCTGGGCTTGATTCTTGTTAGTTCTTTACAGCTTACTCCCTTATCTCTCTGTTAGGTGAAACAATTCAAGGATTAAGAGCAAATCTCAAGCAGGCCATAGAAACTCTCTCCGGTGTCGATTCCTCAGTGGCCATCTCTTCCGGTGGGGAGCTTTTCTTAAGATTCATCAGCCTCACGTCTTTGGAGCACCCGGTAAGTTCTTGTAAAGAAGGGGTGTGGGGGCCTTTGGTCGCTAGAGGCTTGTTAGATCGAAGGAAGTTTAAACCTCAGCACCTTAACCATAGCATTCAGGGTGTGTGCCCGTTTCTATAGTTCCACTTTTAATTTCGTCTCTCATCTCTACCTCCCGCAGGATTATTCCAAATGTAAAGAGATAATGATTGAAAGAGGGGAGCTTTTCCTCCGCCGCGTCTCCCTTTCAAGGACAAAGATTGCCACCCTGTGTTACACGTTTGTCAAAGACGGTGGGGTGAGTACGCCCAGGCTTCAGAAGCGGAAGCAACGGAGCAGCGTCTTTCTCTAGTTGTCTGCGTTCTACGGAGGAAGTGTTCTGCTTCACCACTTCACTCCCTCTAACCTTCTCCTCTTACAGTGTGAAAAATGTGGCTAAGCACAATCCCCCCATGGTTCTCTTTTTGATAATTCAGAGTGAAGTAACTGTGGTTCTCCTAAGGATGGGAATTGTAGCCGGGGCAACTCAGGGGTAAGGGTTTGGAGAAACGTTTTGGAAGAGGATGAGAGACAAACAGAGACACGGCTGTGGCTCCACTTTGGGAGGGAATTACAGAAGGTTACACTACCTGCCATCCACCGAATAATTGTGTATGTTGTTTCCCCAGAGAATATTAACTCACGCTTACTCCAAAGTGGTCTTGAAAGTCTTGCAAGCCGCCGCAGAAGCCAAGAAACGCTTCAGCGTTTATGTCACCGAATCGCAACCTGACCGAGCAGGGTAAGGAGGAATGTTTTCCAGTGGCACTAGAGAGGATGAGAGACAAACAGAGACACAGCAATGGCTCCACTTTGGCAGGGAATTACAGAGGGTTACACTACCTGCCATCCACAGAATAATTGTGTATGTTGTTTCCCCAGAGAATATTAACTCACGCTTACTCCAAAGTGGTCTTGAAAGTCTTGCAAGCCGCCGCAGAAGCCAAGAAACGTTTCAGCGTTTATGTCACCGAATCACAACCTGACCGAGCAGGGTAAGAAGGAGGAATGTTTTCCAGTGGCACTAGAAGAAGGGGATCAGTACAAAGGACGGTTGCCGTTTGCACTAGGGTTTTACTTAGATCACCTTTGCCTGTTTATAAATGTCAGTGGCAATCGTGCACACCCTTTACTTGAGAGTAAGACCCACTGAACTTTGTGGGACTTGTTTCTGAATCAGGGTTTGTAGGATTGCACTCCCACCTACCATGGCTGCCGGACTGTTTCGCAGAAGCCAAGAAACGCTTCAGCGTTTATGTCACCGAATCGCAACCTGACCGAGCAGGGTAAGGAGGAATGTTTTCCAGTGGCACTAGAGGAAGGGGATCAGTACAAAGGACGGTTGCCGTTTGCACTAGGGCTTAGATCACCTTTGCCCGTTTATAAACGTCAGCAGCAATCATGCACACCCTTTACCTAGGAGTAAGACCCACTAAACCTTGTGGGACTTGTTTCTTAATCAGGGTTTGCAGGATTGCACTCCCACCTGCCGTGGCTGCCGGACTGTTATACAGAAGTGTCTGGTAACCTCTGTGGATGAGCAAGCAGGAGCTGACTTGCTAATGGCCTAAGAAACATCAGGATTTCAAAGCTGGGATTTGCTTGCCCCAGTCCATTGTTCATGTTTTCTTTCATTCCTCCACAAACTCAAAACAGCCTTCCTGCTCAACCCCTCTGCTGTTGTCCTCCTGGGAAGCTCGTTAGTAAGGCTTTTGAACCTAGAACCCTCTGATTCTTGGCTAACCTAATAACGCAGGGCTGGGGAATTAAGGGCTGTCCAGACGTCCTGAATTCTACTTCCTGTCAGCCTGGTGACCCATTACCTTCAGCCCTCCTAAGCCATACCTCAAACCTCTCCACCCCCACCTTCTGCTTCATGCAAGAGCAGACTGGGGACATTACTAAGGATAATAAGGCACACTGGAATTTATTTTGATTTTTTCCCCCCAGAAAAGCTCTCTTTCCTCTTACTGTCTTGTATGATCAAAGTATTCATGTGCACAAAATGACGTTGAAATTAATATCTTGATCATCCCGCCCCCCAGGCAGAAGATGGCCGGGGCTCTCATGAAACTTGGTATCCCTGCAACGGTCATTCTTGATGCCGCTGTTGGGTAAGTTTGCGCAACCTCTGTTGCAGCCCGGCGGCTTCTGTTTTTCTTTTGGACCTGTCTGGGAAGTGAATCTAGAACCCTGCCTCCCAAAAGCAAGACTCAGGCTGCTCAGATTGATTACCCAGATAGCCTGTTCAGACCTTACAGGGCACGCAGGGGTCTTCGGTTGTGAATCTCATGTCTTGGGGGGGAGGGGAGAGGTCTCATTCTGAAAACTCACATCACCCATGGCAGAGCACCACCAGTGCTGCAGTTCCCTGTTGCCGCTCAGGCTGGGTACCCGAATGTCTCCCAACACTATAGAGTCCTGCAGGTTGGCAGGCCAGAGGGTCCCCCACCCTTCCAGAAGGGGAGGCTGGAAAGGCATAACAGGCATGTCGGAGGACGTGAGCCGCTACTGGTTTCATTGGGGGCAGGAGTGGCAGATGGGAGTGATTAAAACAGCCCATGGGGGAGGGGGGAGGAAAGTGGGTTCTGCGAAGCTGGCTGCTGCACATTGTCGACACCTGTCGTAATGTAGGTGTTTCGTCAGAGTTTGGAAAAGTGACTTGGAACTTTAACTCATACCTCTGTCTTCCGAATAGCTACATCATGGAAAAGGTGGACCTGGTGATAGTGGGTGCAGAAGGAGTTGTAGAGAACGGAGGAATCATCAACAAGGTAAAGCGGATAGGCAAGCTGCTATTCTGTAATGCATTTATCGAATATTTTTCATGCTTATTTAATTCTTTTAACATGTTTACCTTTAAAAAAAACGATGTAAGCTGTCTTGAGTTTTTTTTTTTTAAGGAGAAAGTCAGGGCAAAAATATTTTAATTAATTAATTGTGGGAGCTCTCTGAACCACCACATTCATGTCCCTCTATCGATAAGACGGTGCTTCCCTTCAATGGAGTTTGCTGTTACTGGAATAAATAAATAAATTTTATCATCATCCCACCCCCCCCAATATCCTGATGCCGTTCTCCAGGGGCTCCCGACCTCTGGAGTATATTTGGTGGGATTACAGAGAGAATATCAATCAGCAGAAATAACCATACTCCTGTTCTGTTGACAGATGGCCTCTTTCAGGTCAAAGGAATACTGAATTTTGCTTCATTTTGGAAACAGTACATCTGGCCTCCTGGAACGAAGTCCACCTCACCCTGTTTACTGTCTCTCCCCACCCACCCCAATGCACATTTTTAGCCAGATCTTTTGATGAAGCTCGTAAACCACGCAAGACAGCTCATTTCCCTGTTCAGGAAGGGTAGATCTTGCTCTCGGACATTTGAACAGAGTTGCTTGGTTCCTCATTAAAACAAGATTCCTTCTCTAAATCCCCTCCTCAGATCGGCACAAACCAAATGGCGGTGTGTGCCAAAGCTCAAAACAAACCCTTCTACGTAGTGGCCGAGAGTTTCAAATTTGTGAGGCTTTTCCCTCTGAACCAGCAGGATGTCCCAGATAAATTTAAGGTAAGAGAAAAATAATGTATCCTTTGTAGTTGTCTTTAGTTTTTTTTTTTCTTAAAAAGGCATGATGTAAACCTCAAAGCCGTTTAATGCCTGATTTTTGAAGGCTGCCCAGAAAAGGAGAACCAGCAGTCATCTCAGAACGGGAAAAATCTGGGGAGCCAGGGGTCGCAAAACCAGCCCTGGTTGCTCAGATTTCCCCCCATCCCCAGCAGAAAGTACTGTTCGGTCTGGTGCGTTGTAGCCTCTGTCCTAGTAGCCCGCTTTTTTCCCCCTAGATGCTAAAGTAGCTTTGTTTCTCTCGGCCAAGCTGCGATATCACCTTTGAGTGGGAATGATGTCATTTCCACAAAAAGCTAACTTGTACAGTATATCTTTTTCTCCCTTCTTCCCCCCCTCCCTTCTCCAGTACAAAGCAGACACACTGAAGAAAAGTAAGGCTCTTATGGTGGAGCACCCTTGGGTCGATTACACTTCGCCGTCTCTGATCACACTGCTCTTTACGGATCTCGGAGTCCTTACGCCTTCGGCCGTCAGCGACGAACTCATTAAACTCTACTTATAAACGGGTCATCGTTTAGGGTGCTGGAGGGGAATGGGTTTTCCCTGCAGTTCGGGGGTAAGGTGGTGGTTTTTCCTTTTTTAAAAAAAAAGAGCAAAGGAACTGTAAATAAGGGGTCCAAACAGCTAGAAGGGAGTGGTATCCTGATTCATTTTTTGCAGAAAGGGACGTTTATGACTTGATTGTATGGCTGGGCGTTTGGAAAGTTAAGTTATTGGGAATAAATTCATTCTGAGTCAGACAGCCTTGTGAGATTTAGTCATTTAAAAAACCGGCCTGGAAAAGACAATTATCACTTAATTTCAAAACTCCAAGCTATACTTCTGTAAGTTTATTTATTTATTTGATTTATACCCCGTCTATCTGGACTACCAGACCATAGAATAAAAACAAAACATGCCCAAGCAAGAACAATCCACATCTGTCCTGCATCAGAAGATCAGGTTTTTAACCTAGAAAGGACCCTCACGCACTAACGTCATCCCATTAAGGGGGAGCCCTGATGTGTTCTAGCTTGGGCAGGGGGCTTTTTCAGAATGGGAAGTAACACTGCAGGCCCCCCTGAGATTTGCAGAGATTAATTCTGGCCCCAGACCTCTGGGAATCGCCGAGGCCTGTTTTAACGACACGAATGTTTTAATACCATAATAGTTTGCTTATGTTTTAATCCTGTAAATTAGGTTTGAGCCTGCTTTTAGCTGATTTCCTTCCCCCGCCCCTCCTAGTTCTAAATCTCATTATAAGCCATCCCAAAGCACCCTTTGGCCAGCTATGCATCCAGAGGGCACCAGACCATAGAAAGCTGGGTTGAAAAACATCCTACGGTTTTCAGGCGCCCGGCTGAAAGTCCAAGAGCTGCAGTCCTTATCAGAGCCAACGATACTTCCTCCTCCTAAGGGCAGATCCCCATAATTCCCAACTGAGAGAAGAGGCTTACACCTACTCAGTTCTGCGGATAAAATCCCAGGCTGTCTCACAAGAGCCTAGTAGTGCTAGCATCAAGGGTGAAAACGGCACCAGCTGAATATATATATATAAAAAATCCATTTTATTAACATTGGAAAGACTAGCCTTCAGCGACCACGTTACCCTTCAGAATCAGAGCCACTCGCGGGCCCCAGCTGGACGTCCTTCCCCCTGCACAGCAGCTTCTTCTCAAACTCCTCCTCGCTGATCTTGCCCTTCTTTAACCTCTTTAAGAGCCGTGTGTCGTTCAGGAGCTCCTCCATATCGCCATCTTCTACGTCCGAACCCTGTGGGCAAAGGAGATTTAGAAGAACAGGGCAGGACGGATCTAACCCCAAACAGGAACCCTGCTCTTCTGCTATCATCCCCAGTGGACGCTGGTTTGTTCTCTAGCCAAGAATACAATCGCCCGGAGTGGCTTGCATTTAAAATGCACACGAAGACGACAGGAGATGATCAGATGGGTTTTTCAACCAGGGGCAGGGGACTTGAGGGACGGGAACTGATGTCAAGTTGGACTGAAGCCGCTCTGGTGACTCGACTCAGTGTTTATTTTATTTTTTCTGATGACTCTGATTCAACTCATGATTCGGGAACCACCCACCCCTCCCTTGTTTCCTGGGGCGGAAAAGCTTGTTTTTAATAGGGACTCAGACCCAACCTCCCTGGTTTCAACCACATCTGATGCGATGGCTCTAATCTCCTCTCTCCGTATAAAGACAGGTAAGTGGCATCAGGACTCAAATCCTGCCCGCCAGCAGAGAGGCCGGTTATAGGGGTTAAAATGCCTCTTTCCGCATCTCACCTCCTCTTTTTTCCGTTTTGCGGTCATCTTTTTCTTCTTCTCTTTCTTGGCTTTCTGCTTCGACCAGGCTTTATTCCGGGTGAACTTCCTCTTCCCTTCTTGCTCCTGCCTCTCCTTCCTCCGCTGCTCTAGAAACTTCTGCCTCTGCTTTTCCCGGTTCTTGTCTTTGAAGGCAATGGAATCCGTGTCAACATCGACGGGCGTGAAGTCTGAGAAAGATTTGCCTTTGAGCTCCGGCATTCTCGGCAGCTTCAGCAAAGCAAAGCCTCGGGCCAGGCTGGGAAAGTCCAAGTCTGTTGAAATGGGAGGGAAGAGGAGGAGGATTGTGGGTGAAAATGACAAAGGAAAGATGCAGTGGGGCAGTGCCTTGACTGCGTCTATTCACCCCACCCTCTCCTCTTGGTGCCAGAGAATAGTTTAAAAGCTTTCACAATTTTTTTTTATAAACCATAGTTTAATGTTGCACCTGAACCCTAAACCATGGTTAAATCTTAACCATGGCTAATTGTTCTTTTGGAGCCGACTTGCTCTCTAAATCATGTTTTGAAGCCAACAAACCATTGTCAATATTAACCATAGATAGACGGATGAAATTACAAGCTATAGTTTATTTATTCATTTTATTTAAAATATTTTAACCCCGCCTTTCTCCTTAAAAAAAGACCCAAGGCGGCTTACATCCTTGAGAGATAAACAGGAGAAAGCCTTTCAGGTAGTGGCAAAAGCCTGCTCATCCTCCACAGTTTGTCACCTGTGCCCACAGAACAAAAGACAGGGGATGAGCTAGAAAACCAATCGGTAGAAACATCAATCAAAAGAGGGTTGCTAATTACCTTTTAACCGGAAGATCAGACTGCACTCGTGTTTGGCATAGGCTTGTATGTAAGACACAAATGCCTTCATCCCCTTCTCGTATACAGCTCTGTCAGCCAAAGCCAGCGACTTCAATTTGGGCAAGACATTCGCCACGTTTGTCTGCAGCTGCATTTCCTCCATGGGACACTAGTCAAAGAGATTTCAATTTCCAATTACAGGCAGCAAGCCCCTGGAAGTATTCCTCTTTTTGTTCAATCACAGAATTCTACTTTTGATGCAAGAAAAAGACAGGTTTTTTTCCCCTCTACATCATTTTTAGACCAAAAGGCTTTACATACAAAGAACAGCAGCTGTGGAGAGAAAAGAATTGCAGTCGCTTTTCCTACGAGGGCCGGAAGGCACTCCATGCTTTCCTCTTTTCTTCCCCACCCCCTTTTTTCTTTTTGTACCAAATCTACTACATTGTATAGCTGTGGGGCAGAGGCCACCTTGCCCTTTAACCATCTGCACAGTAGTTCAATAAATTGTAGGCCTGCTATAAAATAGTCCCTAACAAACTAATGAGCTGTCCGACTCTTCTATTCCAGAAGGAATCCAGAAATTCTTTCTTACTCCTTATAAGAACCGAGAAATCTACTCACTTTTTGGTTAATGGCGAGAAAATTTATATAGGTTTCTTCCATGGGGAGGAGGAAAACAAGGGCGTTGCCTTGGTGGCCGATGCGCGCAGTGCGCCCACAGCGATGTACAAATGCACTAGAACATTAGGTGAAGAAGAGAGAAGATCCTTAGCAAGACAAAGTATCTTGAGCATTAAATGCTACAACCAAGATAACGCCCCCCACAGATCTGCTACGACCCTTAGGCTTGGTAGTTTATTGATATTCTGAAACCGTATTCACAACAGTGATTAAAAACGGTCCTATTTTTAATGATGAGAGAAAAGCGGATACCTTGCACTGCTTGGAGGATCATACTGCAAAACCCAGTTCACTTCAGGAATGTCGATGCCCCGAGCCATCACGTCAGTACAAACAAGGACACCACTAGAAAGTGAAGAGGGAGCACAACATTCTTAAAGGAAACAGAACCAAGACTGACGTTTCCAACTTCTGCCATTTGGTGACTTTGTTCTGAATTCTGAAGTCAACCATTCTGACTTTTTAGACGGTTACACCGAAATCAACATTCCAGCACAAAGCCCTATATATGTACACATTTCCCGCTAGGTGCTTAATCATCACTCCAAGTAAAAAAATAATAATAATAAATCAACTCACCTTGGAAGTTTCCGGAATTCTGTGAAGATCTTATTGCGCTTGTGTTTCATTTTCCCATGGATGCACATTATTTTCACGTTCTTAACCAAGGACTCCAGAGCCTTCCCATAATATTCCACACAGGCACAAGTACTGCAAAAAAAATTTTAAAAGCCAAACACCTCAGAGACTGTTCGACGCCGTGCTGGACAATCTCTCCGTAAATACAAGACCACAGAGGGTCTCCATTCCAAATTACCTGAAAAAGACCAGATGTTTTTCTGGCTTGTGTTGACGAAGGAAGTGGACCAGCTGGTTGAATTTGTCATCGGCTTTGCAGATCTGAATAGGAAGATCCAGGAATAAAAGAGGCAGGAATAAATAAAAGGGAGCACAAAAGCAATGGAACAAGATGGGGGGGGGTTTCCTTCCAATCTCTTTGCCGGGTTAAACCAAATGTATCCCATGGGGGGGGGGGGGAAAGGCAAAATATATCTAGCTGCATCTCCTGGCATTTAGCTCAACTTTTTCCTCTTCGGTTTTTCAAGTTTAGGTTGCAAGCTTTTGCGGGCAAGAACCTATGATGTATCTCACCCGACTCGATACATCAACAAGTACCCTGAAAAAAGAGAGCAACCAGGACGGCCACATCATGCACGCGCCGGGGAACAAATGGGCAGAAAAGTTTTTGAGCTGGGTCAGGGCTATTTAAAGCCACTTTGCCATTCAAAGAGTGAACGTACACAATATACAGCTGTTAACAGTTTAATGCCATTTTAACTGCAATAGCTCTGCCCTATGAAATCCCAGGGGATTTATTGTGTTTGGCAAGGGAGCGCTGCTCACCATGTAGTAATTCTGGAGCCGGGTAGGGGTCTTCTGGGTGTTGCTCGCAGCCACCCCCTTCTCCTTTACCGAAATACGGACAGGGTTACGAAGGCCCGCTCTCACCAAGTTCTCGACTTCTTGGGTCTGAGTTGCCGAAAAGAGGCCCGTCCGTCTCTGCTTGGGCAAAAAGTCCAAAATGGTATTTAAGCTGCAAAGGAGCAGAGTTAAGGAAAGACAGGAGAACCAGGCTGGGTTAAACTAAAAGGTCCATCATCTTCAGCATCTTTCTTCAGTGGCCAAACAGAAATGTGAATTAAACACCGGGAGGGTCAACATGGGGAAATCTGCTGACCGACTATATATGCAATAGAGGAAAAGGAGGTGGTATAAATTTGCAAGCGGATGAAACCCACGGCCTGTTAACAATAACATTGCCTGTGACGATGGACTTCAAGACAATGTTGCAGTGGCAAATTCTTCAATGTAGATGCTCGTTTTGACAGGTTCAACAGCCAGATCCCCAAGGATAGTCCAAAAAAAAAAATTAAGGTGGCTATTTTGATCCTTTACTAACAAACCAGATCACACAGGACAGGCCTTTTGGTGGTTGACTGCCCATAGAAAGCTAAGCTGTCACAAAAGGCTTTGTGTTACAACAATATTGTTACTGAGAAAATCCACTGCCCCCGCTTTGGCCGCTGAAGAGACTGCAGCTGGGCTCAAAAACAAAAAGAGTGGGGCAGATGGGAAATGAAGTCGGTAAGTCTAATACTGAAAATGTCCCCATAGGTTCATCCTGCAGCCCTGGGTTTGTTACAACGGCGCTGACAAAGGAAATACCTTGCTTCAAAGCCCATATCCAAAAGCCGATCTGCTTCATCCAAGACCAGAACATCAAGAGATTTCACAGCGCTGGCCAGATCCAGACCCTCCGCCTTCCTCCGGAACATGTCCACTAAACGACCTGGGGTAGCGACAAGGATGTTTCCACTGTTGCAGAAAGAAAAAGAAGCTTTCCAGTCTGGTTTAGAGAAGAGGCTCTAACTTCAGGCATAGGCACAAGACCGTCACGTGACTTAGTATGCCACAGGCGACTATTCGCCTCCAGAAGTTACATTTGTGTGATGCTTGTCAGTTTAAGCAGCACTATTTTTGGCCATGGTGTGAGTAACTCAAAAATCTGGTAAAACGAGAGAGTTACTGACACAGGATTCTAGCCACTAAATGCAGGACGTGTAATTCAAATAAAGAGTTTTCGGAAATTCGGTACCCAAGTAGTAGAAGCCCCCAAAGTGACTCACCCTCCTGCTTTGAATCTTTCGATATCTTCCATGGGATTCTTCCCACCAATTAAAAGGCACTGGCTGCAATAAAGCGCACACATGATTTAAAAACCCATCTATGCACGTTGTGGTGCCAACAGTCTCAACAAACAGAATGTTCTTACCTAAACTGTGGGAAATGCTTTCTGAAGTGGGATATCACTTCGTCTATTTGAGTAGCCAGCTCTCTCGTGGGCGTGATAACAATGGCACCGACCTGAAACACCACAGAGAACATGGACATGAGAACTTGAATGGCTTTCACGCCAGAGTGCAATTTACTCCTTTTGTCTTGCATCAGCACAAACAGCCAAGCTTCCCATGAAATGTCAGCAGAATTCATGAACGCTGGTGAGAGGAGAGTGGCTAAAGCCAAAGAGAGACAGAACACTATATGGCCCGGGAATCTGAGATGGGAAATATTACTTTTCCAGATCCCAGCTCCAAGAATCCAACAGCCACCACTGCAAGAGCTGTAAGTTCTAAAAGGTAACATTTCTAATCTTTGGTGCCAATAAACGTTGAGTTCACAACACATAACTAGGGCACAGAAGTAACTCAGAAACGTCTATGTTGCAGCCGTTCATCTGGCTGCTCCATTATTTCCACACTCTCCACGTTTGAGGAATGAGGCACTCCAATCACTAGCAACAAAATAGACAAGAACAGTCTTAGGCACCAACGTTAAATATTTATATGCCTGGTTGATCCATTGCCCCAGACCATCTCCCAGGTCTTTCCTTTTTTAAAAAAAAGTGGAAAAAGGGAAATCACAGTATTTTACCTGCATTTTCTTGAGTGCTTCTTCCCTTCGAAGCAGAATTTCTATGATGGGGATGACAAACGCTAACGTTTTGCCACTGCCAGTTACCTGGAAACATGAAAACAAGAAGAAGCATTAAGAGTTTCTTCAGCACTACACACAAACCAGTGACAAAATCAAAGCCGAGGCAAAACACTCACTGCTTCAGCAGCCACATCCTTATTTGTCATGAACAACGGAATTGTTGCAGACTGAAAAACAAAACAACGGATACACTTTAGAAACAGAAAGATGGAGCACTGTTGAGTTAACATGCTTGAATAATACTGTTGGCAACTTAAATTAGACACAGTGAATATTCTAGTGCCTTTCAACCAACCAGATCAATGCCCAAATGGAAGAGAAACGTGTACAATTTACATACTGGCTGAGGCTAATCAGCATCCTCTAACTGGATTCACTTTAATTGAGTTTGTGTCTATATGCCTTTTTTTTGTACTGCAGACAGAGGACACCTGCTTTTTGCGCCTCCAAAGTAAGCCATCACTTATGAGCAAACAGGCCTCATTTCCCAAGAAAACAAACGTCCACTATTTCATGAAGATGAAATACTGGATCTTTTTTGGGAATTAAAGTTGCAACGTCACCCAAGGAAGATGAAATGCCGATGTTGCAGTTCCACAAAATGTGTGATAGGATATAAGACACTTCCCAGTAAGGAAACGGTGCCTGAGAGGGTTTTTTTTTTCATATTGGATTGTTGTACTCTTGTTGCTTTCAAATGTGCTTTTAGTACTGATTTTATTTACCGCTTTTAATACGCGACTTGTTTAATCCTTTTTCAATATTTGCATACTTACTCTTTAGCGTTTATTATATTTTATAACATTGTCCTTTTAGGGATGTGAAGCCACTTTGGCTCCTTTTCAAGGAGAAAAGCCGGATGGAGATATTTCAAATAAATAAAATACTCATTCCCAAACCGTCCTTGGCTGATGCAGTTAAAGACAGGCTTACTGTGGGCTCTGTTTTTCGACCCTAGGAGACCAGAGTGCCCAAAAATAACCCTTTAAAAGTGGCTATTTTCCTTCATCCGGGTCTCCTTCCTATATTCTTCCCCCCCCCCCCCGGGCCAGGTAAGGCCTACCTGTACGGGAGTCATGTGGGAAAACCCCAGCTCCTGCAAGGCCCGCAAGACGCCTGGGCTCAGCCGAACGGGCAAGGAAGCCCACCTGCCCTCCGTGACTTCCTCCATCTTCCTGGTTTCCTTCCCGACGGATGTCAACCACGGTCCGTCCCTCTCACGGGTCCCCCTACAGGGAATCCGGTCCGTTCCTTGAAGCGCCCGGGTGGGAAACAAAGCCGTGCTCTTTTAGTTCCGCGCGAGCCCCAAGAGATTTCTGAGCCTCCCTGGGGCTTTTCCCGACTCAATCAGGACTGTGACGCTGTCTCTTTCCTATCCTTTGGCCCCGACAGGTGGTTGGGCTGCGTTTCCCATCATCATCCCCCACCCCAAGCTGCCCTGAGTTAACTTTCTCCATCCACCCTGGGGGGTTTCTTTCTCCCAGCTAGGAACTCTGTTCCATCAGTCATGGGTCCCCCACATGGAGGGAGTCAAGAGGGGCAAAAATCTGGACAGTGTCCTGGGATCCAGGAATAAGAGAAAATGAAAATGTTCCCTGCACGATACCCGATAACCCATTTAGTTCTGCTCTGATCTACTGTTTTGTCTAGTCTTTCATTTTACCTCTTTCTGGTCTTAAAAAGACAGGATTGTACATTTTTGGCATTCTTATCGCCTTCTGGTATAAAAATGGATCCTACCATGTCAGACCTGTGGCCCACCTAGTTTAGAATTATCCAGGTCTCCTGCTAATTGGTAGCAGCTCCCCAGGGTCATTCCCAACACTCCGCGTAAATGCCATGCGCTACTCTGCATGTAGGCGTGCAATGAATTCATCTTCCCACAGTGGCTGAATTATTCAAGGACATTAACTTGCAAATAATTTTGTTCTCCAAGCACAACAGGTGTCTGGATACCTCAGTAAGTCTGAGTTCCTGTCTGTGAAGCCGTAGGTTGGAAGTTCCAAGTCCCGGACTTTGCCTTCCAAGAGAACCAGCCTCTGTAGCCTTGGGCAAGTGGCTGAGTCCAATACCATCACCAGAAGGGACTAAATGATACCCAGGAAAACCTGACTAGAGTCACCGCTAAGTCAGAATGGACTTGACTGCATAGAACTATTCAAGTATAAAACACACAGCCTGGTTGCACACCCCACTGTTCTGGACGCTTCCATTACCTGAAGCAGCAGCTGATGGAAAAAGTCTGCACCTGCCCTCTCTGAGGGCAAGAAATCTTGGTTCAAGAACCGCTTTCTCTTGAAAGCATCCTCTGACTTTATCTAATGGCCAGGAGGTTATGACATTGCGTGTACATTATGCATAGGTTTAGAGGGTTTGTGTTATTAACATCTGCTGTACGTTTCTTCAGGAAATAATTGGAATGGAAGGTGAAACATAAATCCTCAAAACAACGGAATAAACGCTCCAAAAACTCATTTTACATGTACCTTGCCTTGCAATTAAGGCAGCAAACTATCACAGTGGTTGGGAAAAACGGTAAACATTCCAGAGTTTCAAGCAAGGTTTCTGACCCTCTTCATCACACAAATTCTGATTTGCATACAAACAAG